AGTGGGACATTGGTGTTTGGTGTTGAAGATACAAAGGGTGAAACAATATGCCTCACAAATCTGATAGGGAAGCATCAAGTCAGGGAGTAGTCCGGTCTGTGATCGAGCGATATGAGGAGTGACAAAGCTCTCCACGAACAGAGGGACAAAGTCAGAGCAGTCACAGTCTTTACGAACCAATGACAGAGTTGAGTCCTCGAACCATGCTTGCATTGCTTGGAGAACTCACACTGGATGTCGTTGAATAGGTAAATCTACGAAATGTTCATAATATGGAAAGATTTACCCAGAATGGGAATGCCCATTATGACAACATGGCCAAACAACTGAATACATTAAATGAAATAATGAATAAGTTAGTAGGCCAAATTTGTCAGCCAGTTGTGCCTGTTGCAAATCACTTTCAAACTAGGACAATTGTGGGATATAATTCCCCAGTCCTAAGTCCAAATCCGGGGATAGAACCACCGTTTGGTCCACTTATTTCAAACTAGGGGATGGTGTAATGCCAAATCAGAATAGTGGTAATGGTACATCTAACTTGGGGGGTAACCTAAATATAAGAGATAATGTCCTAAATAATGGACAGAATACCTCACGTGTCAATGATGGAATAAATGTTCAGGCTAATGGTAACAATGACCCAAATCATGGCAACTTTGTCGCCAACCAAGGACCAAACACTAGGCTTCAGGCAAATCAACCGATCAACCAACCTGTAGGAATTCCATATGACCTCAACATCATGTTGAGAAATCAAATTATGGAAATAGTACAGGATCAAATGGCTTTTGGGGTACATCCTGTCATTAGGCCGACTTACACAAAGTCATACCCTAATTGGGTAGACCAAGCATATCCATGGCCTAGAGGGTATAAAGTGCCAGAATTCTCATTATTTACCGGGTTAGGAGAGGTGTCTAGTTTAGAACACATAGGGCGATTCACGCTACAAAGTGGTGAAGTAACCGACTACCATAAAATGAGGTTGTTCCCTAGTTCATTAACAGGAGTAGCTTTCTCTTGGTTTATCAATTTGTCAGCAAACTCTGTTCAAACATGGCAACAATTGGAGCAATTGTTCCATGCTCAATTTTATAAGACTGAGTCTGGAATTACTTTGACCGATTTGGCGAATCTACGTCAAATGCCAAACGAATGGGCAGAAGGTTTCCTTCAAAGGTTCAAGACAGCAAGAAGTAAATATTTTGTACCTTTGTCCAAAAAGGAGTTTGTCAAAATCACTTAAAATTGTCTAAACTTTGATTTGAAAAAGAAATTCCAAGACAGGGAATTTCCTGATCTTTTCCAATTGAGCACAAATGTGATTAGGTATCAACGATTAATAAGAGAATAAGAGCAAATGAAAAATTCTAGTAAGGGGACTTATTATAGAGACCCAAATTTTGATGTTCATACCATTAATGACGAATATTACGATCAAACTGAAATGTGTTTGGCCGAATTAATCAAAGGAGACGCGTATACTTGTCCTATAATGGCTAAGCCTAGATCGTCGGGTAAAAATGAGCCTATAAAAGATGAAAACAAAAAGGCTAGAACGTTCTCGTTCGATGTAACCAAAACCGACATTATATTTGATAAATTATATAAGGATAAGCAGATAAAGCTGAGAAATAAACATAAGTTGCCAAACCCTAAACAAATCAAGGGTAAAAAATATTGTAAGTGGCATAATGCATGGTCGCATTTGACTAACAACTGTTTGGTTTTTCGTCATGTGTTACATGACGACATTGAATCAGGACGAATTATGTTCGAGGATAAGAAGAAGATGGAAGTGAATGAAAACCCTTTTCCACAGCCACTTGGGGTGAACATGATGACGACTGGTTT